GAATGGGATTTAATGGAAGCTCGTTTTTCCTCAGCGGAATATCACACGAATAATCTACTTAATTCTGTTTTATTCGAAGAAGTATTAAAAATCATACCAAATAATGCTGTAACCATTGAAATTTCTCCTCACGGATTACTACAGGCAATTTTGAAAACATCATTGCACAGCGATATCATTAATTTAGCATTAACAAAACGCAATCACAAGGACAATACAATGTTAATATTATCCGCTTTAGGAAAACTTTATAATTTAGGGTATCCCATAACGCCAGGAAAGCTTTATCCACAAATTTCATATCCTGTTTCTAGAGGAACACCRTCAATTTCTTCTCATGTCAGATGGGAACATAGTGCCGATTGGTTAGTGTATATGTTTTTGTTAATATTAAATACTTACTTAAGTTACTATTAAATATTAGATTGTGTCCGTTCGAAACAAACATTAGTTTAATCTTTCGTGACAAGGGTTATTAAGGCTTCATTTCTTAAAATAAAATTTACTAATTGCCACCATGTTGGGGCAAGAGTTTAAAAGTAATTATAAATTAATCAATGTTTTAAATCATAAATAAATGAATATTTTAATTTATTTTAAGAATCGACACTCGTAATACTTCTAAACGTATATTACAAATAAATATATTTGTTTATTTATTTGATAGGTACGTGAGCTTATCTATAACTCATACGAAACAACGAGTTGGAGAACGTTCGTTTACCTTGAATTTGAAATCAGACGAATACCAATTTTTACGAGATTTTCAAATTAACGATGATGTGATCATAACCCCAGCTGTTTATTTGAAGCTACTTACTAATATGTACTCAAATTTAATACTAAATAAGACTGACAAATCATTAACACTCCGGAATATTGTTATTTGCAATAAATTACTAAAAGTACCTAGAAATGGCAAAATAAGTGTTACGGTTTCAATATGTGAAGGTAAATATTGCAATTTAATTATAGAAAATTTCGTTAAGAATATTTTCAAATAATGTACACTCCTTAGGTACGGGATCATTTGAAATAAGCAGCAATGAAGAATTAATAGCTTCTGGAATAATAGGCTTAACGGAAACTGAGAGAAATGATATTTCTGATATCACTTTACAAAAAGAAGAGAAAGAAATTTTATCCAAAGAAGATATTTACATGAATCTACTTTTACGTGGTTACAAGTATGGAGAATCTTACAATATTATTAGGGGACTTTCTAGATCATGTTCCAATGGTACATTCGAATGTAACAATGATTGGAGATTATTATTAGAAGGATTAATTCAAGTGCATATCATTAACAGTGGGACTAATACAAATATTTTGATTCCGACTAAGATAGAAAAACTCATTATCGATGTGGAACAATTAAAGGAACAAATACAAAATAACAACGGTAATATCTTTCAAGTTTATTATTAACACGTTCACACTGGCTTCCATTATCGTTGTTTTCGCTGTGGGACTGTCATTATTTCATTTTAAGCATCTAATAGTACAATTGAATGCTTACCACAGGTGAGTAAGCACTGCCCAATAAGAACTCATTGTAGACCACCGGTGGTACGAGCCAACGTGAACGTGTTAAATTATGATGCTTATTTTTCTAAATATTCAAGATTTTTCTTTTTTTTTTTTTTTTTCTAGCATTACCGATGAAGTTTGATAAAGTGATAAACACGATAGCTTGTCCAGGAATAACTATGATTGGGATCAATTTGAAAGAAATAGTTGTTGATTACAGGGCTTGGGAAATTGTCGTGAATGAACTTCAATTTATTCAGAATATCAAGAAAACGGATATTAATGACGTCATTTTAAAAGAAGAAGAAGAAGACAAATTAAAAAGAACAGTTGTCGTTAAAAACCAAGAAAATTGTATAGATCAGTTAACGATCTCTTTACGAGATTCTAAATATGACAATGTGATATTTTTGGTTAATACTAATATCCAAAATGATGTATTTGAGATACTAGAAGCTATAAAGCGAGAGCCAGGGTATAAGAAGCTTCAAATTGTTGACATACAAGACTCAACAGCACCGAAATTCTCGCTTCAAAATGAATTCTATAGATCGCAAATAAAATTAAATCTTCGTGAAAACGTGTTATTGCCCAACGGCGTATGGGGCACGTACAAATGGATCCCAGTGTCAATGAAATCGTCTAATTATTCTTCGCGTTGGCAAGCAAAAATGGATTTATCAGGTTCATTAGAATGGATGGAAGAGTTACCATTGATTAAAGAAAAAAATGATAGTGTAGTTAAAGTAAAGTATGCTGCATTCGACTTAAATATTTACGAGCATTGTTTAAAAAATAACCTCAGTTTAAAATCACAGATATCTATGACAGAATATTCAGGAATTGACGAACAAGGTCGTAGAGTAATGGGACTAGTTGATAGTTTCACCATAAGTAATGAAATTTTATCTCATCCAGATTTAACTTGGATTATTCCAGACACTTTGAGCTACGAAGAAGCTGCAACAATTCCACAAGCTTATTTTGCAGCTTTCTGTATTTTGCATTTGGATAGACATAACTCTGATAAAATCAAAACTGTATTAATACATTACGGTGCTAGCGACGTAGGACAAGCTATCATCAATTTATCTTTGTCGTATAATTTGGATGTTTATACTACTTACGAAACGGAAGAAGAAAAACGAATCATCGAATCGATGCAATCACGTTTACCACAATCTCATATTATTAATCTTAAAGAATATAGAGCTTATATTAAAAATATTACGAACAACGAAGGGTTAGATTTAGTAATTGCTAACTATTCCACCTTGAACGATATACAATTTTGTTTGGACATTGTTCAAAATGAAAAATATTCTGTACTAATTTACGATTCTAAAGAGATTTATTACAAACCGATACAACTATATCATTTTAATCGTTCCATAAGTATGCACAGCTACTGTTTGCAAAACCTTGTTAAGTTGTCTCACAAAAGGATTACAGAAATAGCGGAAATAATGAGAAAAGCTTTACAAACAGGTGCAATAAAACCAATTCTATCACGAAGAATTAATCTTCATGGAACAATGGAAGAAACAAACATAGAGGATTGTCAACGTTATGGAAAAGTAATTGATTATTTATTAAGTTTCTTTTGAAAAATGTATAATCTTACGAATAATGTATTTGATTGCAGGTCCTGATCAATTTGGAAGAAGAAACTAAAGTCTTCAATTTGATCCCTCAATATTATTTCCGTAATGACAAATGTTACTTCATCGTTGAGGGTTTCAATACTTTTGGTAAAATACTGATCGACTGGATGATCGAACAAGGAGTTAACAAATTATTCTTAGTTTCTAATAAGACAATCCAAGATCGTGAAAAGTGGGTCCTTAAATGGCGCCATAGTGGAGCAACGGTTGTTGTTCGCGACGAAGTTGATACAACGAGCTTCAGTGATTTGCTTAAAGAAGCTTCTTCTCTTTCTGAAATCGAAGCTATTTTCGATTTACAGAGAATGACGATGGATTCCTCTAGTAATTCATTGGAGCATTCGAAAATCACTAAAGTTCTTGATAAAGAAAGTAGAAACGAAATTTGTTCGACTAATGTCAAATTTTTCATTTTCTCTTCACTTGATTTTCAGCAAGATGATGATTTAAGAGATCCCATTGTAGAAAAATTGTGCTATCAAAGAAAAGAATCTGGTCTTCATGGATTATTTATTCTATTACCTAATTTGACTCTAAATACAGTTACGGACACTCGATCGAATAATAATACATATTATATCAAATTGTCGTCATTTTTACAACGATTAAGTGCCATACTTAGCACAGATGCAACAATAATATCTGTTCACCATCAAATAAAAGATAATTCTGACGATATCATCGATCTGGAAACTATCGAAGAGGTTATTCATTTTTTTTTTTTTATTAATATTATTATTATTATTATTTTTAGGTTATGTATTTGAAAATTCATCCATTTTGCAAATCAGACTACTTTTTTGTTGTAGTTGTATTATCTTATTTATGATTATGTTTAATATTATTTAGGATGATATGATCGAACTGGATCCACAAGAAGAAATGCGTCGGTTCGAGGAATATTTGTACTCTGCGGATTATACAATAGCATGAAAATTCTATGAGAATAATCGAAGAACAATTAAAGCAATGTTAAGTATATATATATATATAGCATAAATACCTTGTGTACAGGTAGACCTTCTATAATATGGCATCCTATAACACATTTTCGTTTCAAAAAACCTTTAACCAACATTGTACTTCTACAGCTGCGGCGAGGTTTGCCATTTTAAAAATACAGTGTTACTTAAAGTATTTCTAATTTCTCTTTGTAACCCCCTTTTCTGTAATGGCTCTGGGCCTCATACAACATGGCATTATCTACGAACGTATCTACCGTGTTATAGAAGAGTTATCTGTATATCATATTTATGCTGTAAAAGATACGGTGATGGGAATGTTATGACAAACATAATGTTACTCGAAACTTTAAGTATGTAATGATGACAATTTTGTTATGTGTATTTTAAAAAAAAAAAAGTATTTTAATCTTGATGGCAAACTAATTGTCGCTTCATGAAAAATACAATATATGTCATATTATAATATATCCGATATACCATAAACGTTATTCTATTTGTTATTCTCTATAATAGTACTTGTGCTTTGTAAAAAAAAAAAAAAGAAAAAATAACAAATTTAACAAATGTGTTTTCTTATATTTAGACTATTTACTTTATCGATTGGTGTAATGTGTTTGAAAGGTTCAAATGTTTTTCTCTATGAAAATATATGACTAAAGGAACCTATTTACTGTAATAATATACATTATTATTTAAAAAAAAACAATTGTACAAAAATGTTGAAAAATTCATTACAATGAAATATTATCTAACGTAGTTGATAATGTGTGTTCAGTTTGTAGTCAATAGGGTAGATGAACAAAACCAGAAGCGAGATAAGTATATAAGAATTTATGAAACGATGAAGTTGTTGTTGTTGTTGTTGAATTATTTTTTATACGTGACAATAATTAGCAAAGTTTTTGCTGATCTTCATCGTGATACATTTAGTGATTTCAATGTCACATTATTAAAACTTGCCATTAAACATGTCCTAGTGTCTGAAGATATTCAAGAAATTATCTTTGCAATAGATCTTGAAATTCCATCTAAAAAAGTAGATACAGAAATGCGTACGGTGATAGATACGGCGTTAAATGATTTCATTAAATCAAGACGATTAATTATCGTTGAGCCATTCTCCTTGATAAAGTCAGAAAAATATCATTTCAAAATGACTTCTACGACTCTTGTTGTTGATGTTACATCTAAAAGCAAATTATTGGATCAACGTGTAATCGAAGATTTTGGTATTTCAATACGTTCGCAGATGCCTACAAGTGATTCACCAAAAATACTTTGGATTGTCAACGACAAAGATGACGAAAATAATTTCAATTCGACTATGCAACAAATGTGGAAATTGCATTTTTTGGATGTTACGATACTCGAATTGTCCGTTTATAAGAAATTTGTTGAAAATTTAACAGTTCATCAGTACAATCCGTTTGTTAAATATTATACAAGATTGTCGTGGAATGATGAAATTCAATTGTTTCCATATAAAATTGACAATTTACATGGTTACAAGTTAAAAACAAATATCAACGATGAACCACCTTATGAAGAAATTGTAAGAGATTGGAAAACTGGTCAGATCATTTTGGGAGGTTTATCAGGCAAAATATTTAATACGTGGTCTGAATTAATGAATTTTTCTTTAATAGTCGATGAAAAAATAAAAATCAAGAGAAATATTACTATGGTTGATGGCAAATATCAAATTATATTAGAGAATTTAAATGAATTGGATTTATTGTATAGGTTATGTTTAAATTCAGCCTTTTTAATTTCCGAAGTGCATACCGTTCCAGTGAAATTTGACGATATATGTATAATGGTACCAAGAATTTTCATGAAAAAACAAATAGATTTTTCACACGTAATATTTGCCTTATTCATTACATTGCTTATTGCCATTTTATTTTGGATTGTTTCGAGCTTATCAAAATCCATTTCTATTATATTCGATCCAATAAATATCATCAGTTTACTCTTAGGTGTTGCTATTACGCCAAACTATGAAAAATTATCCGTACGAATGATATTTCTTTCAATAATGACAGTTCGTATATTTTATTTAGACATATTTTATGAAGAATTATTAAATATCAATACGAATATTGAATCTGAAATTGAATTTAACAATTATCATGATATTTTACAACAAGGAATAAAGATCATGTTTTTAAACATATCATTTCCATTTTTCAAACATTATTTTGCTAATGATACCATCTTTAAACATATGATAACAACGTCAAGTATAAATGAATGCGTGGAACATTTAATATTATATCAAAATACGTCGTGTTATCATGAAACGACAAAATTAATATTAATTTACATGTCAAAAATAAGAAACGGCAAAGCTATGACAAAGGTTACAGACATTTGTCAGAAAAATCGTTATTTAGTTTATTTATTACCAAAAACAACGCCATATTTAAATCGTTTCAATGAAATATTATTACGAATAACAGAATCTGGAATAAAAGACAAATGGATGCGCGATTGGTGGTTGTTAAATTTTGAAAAAACAAACAATACCAATCATTTATTTAATACAAATGTCATGCAACAATCAATAATAATACTTATGAAATTTTTATTATACGATTATTTCATAATTATTGTTATATTTATCTTAGAATTATTATTTCCTTACTTTGATCGTATAATTGTATTTAGAAAACGTAAGAATTAGTTTTGAGTTTGTTTTGCGTTGTTTCACCCCCCACCATGCGTCACTATGATTCTCCGCCCCACCCCACCCCCTCCCCTCTCTCTCTCACTGTTTTGCGCGAAAGCAAGGGAAATAGTCAGAACCTTGGTTAGAACCAGCGATCAGTGTCAAACTGGCGGTCAACGCGTACGGTTATACGAGTTATACGAATTATATTAATTTAACACTGTATATATGAGTTATATACTCCTCTCCTCTCCTAACCTCAATCAACATTTATTATTTTGTGATTTAGAATTTTGACGTGAGTGATATTAAAGAGACATCTACCTTATCAGTGATTTTTTTTTTCTTTCCTCTGCTTTTCAGGGGGTAAGCATTATTATAATATACAGTAATGGTGTCATTAACATATTCTGTAAACAAAAAGTAACATAAAAATGTTATACATTGCCATGTTTTTTTTTTATTATTGTTCTTGCTTTCAAATGTTTTTTCATTTAAAAAAAATAATGACAACAAATTTGTGATGTATTTTCATTGAAAATCAATGTAAAATGAATGCATAAATGATGTACACAATTTGTTATTGAAATTTTAAGTAATTTCAGTGATGTTAAAGTTAATTATCATTATCAAAATGTTTGTAAAATATGTTAGGTAAAGATTGGCGGGAAAAAAATTAAAAAACAACAACTGAAATTACATGTAATGGATACTATGTGATAAGTGAACTAACTGTATAAATGTTTGTATTATTTTGAAAATAATGGTTGATAAATATCATCGAGTTAACGATTCGAAATCATGATGAAATGAATTTGAAATAAGACAAAGTACTTTTTTTATTTCGAGATTTGATCATGAGCCAATTGCAGTTCGCATAATAGATCGTTTCGTTGATGATAAGTCTGACGACGACAACGACGACGACGACATGTTTCTTTTTTGAATTTTGAACAAATATAATTGTTCAAAAGACAATGAAGACATTTGAAATAAAAGAACTAATGATGATCATCCTCTGGTAGAAATCAAAAATTGAAAATGATCCAATCCAATGGTCATCATCTTGAGCTTTGTAATATGAAAAACGAAAACAAAAACTGTATAACAAATCCCATAAAAAAAAAAACATGAGCTTTTTTTACATAAACCTATCTCATTATCCTAATATATAACTTGATAGAAGAAATGAATTCAGCGAAGAAATGAAATTGTTGTTATGTCAAATTGAAATAAAAAAAAAAACAAAAAACAATATGGTAATTTTTCATAAAGGTGTACAATAATATACTTTACTGTTCAGCAGTAAATGTAATCGACGAAAAATCATCTCTTTGTGTTTCTTACTTTTATTATCTTTTATATTAATCTGTTTTTACAAAAACACGCGTTACTATTCTTGGTGTTCCCTTGTGCCGCGAGATACATTTTCCTCTACCTTTATTATTTTTCCGTGTCACGCATTGCACTTCCACGAAGTGCGGAAATTAACCGCAGGCGGCGACGATAAAAGGGGGCTGGAAAGGAAGGGGAAGGGGAAGGGGAGGGGCAAGGGGCGAATGGGAAAGGGTGGGGAGGGGTTCTTTCTTCTTCATTTTATTCACCAGTCTTCTTTCACCCCTTTTTTGCCCCCACCCCCACCCCCCATTTATCGACTTTTCCTTTAACAGTGATAGTTTCAAAAGTTACTTTCATTCAATATTTTCACGTTTTTTTTTTTATCAGTCACAATGATTTATTTCATAAAAGTTAATGAAATAGTTTAAATAGAAATATTTACAAAAAAATACAGGTAATTTGTTGTGAAAGTTAGGAAATATTGTTTGAACCAATCGAGTGGTTGTTGAGCTAAGTAAGAATAGGAGAGGTAGAGAGAGAGAGAGAGAGAGAGAATCATCCATAGGCTTTTGACCATTGTATTTATATCGTCCAACTAAAACGAACGGATTACCTACAGGCAAAGCCTTTAAATATCGCGCTTTGAAAAACAGAAGGAAAGAAACAAAAAAAAAAAAAAAAAAAAAAAAAAATTAGATGTTACATTTCCTGGCACTCGTTATCATTGATCTCGACGTGCAATTTGGTCACTTTTTGAAGAAATACGGTGATAAATAAATTTGAACAANGAGAGAGAATCATCCATAGGCTTTTGACCATTGTATTTATATCGTCCAACTAAAACGAACGGATTACCTACAGGCAAAGCCTTTAAATATCGCGCAAAGAAAAAATGAAGAAGGGAGAGCAAAACGAAAGTGAAAAACATGAAAATTTAGATGTTACATTTCCTGGCACTCGTTATCATTGATCTCGACGTGCAATTTGGTCACTTTTTGAAGAAATACGGTGATAAATAAATTTGAACAAAAATTATATTTTTGTGAACGTAAACAAATATTTTCATTTTGCCAAACAAATTCTTCTTCTGATGATGATGGGGGGATGAGGGGGAAGGGGTTGGTGGTCAGGGGTCACAGAAATGTTACTTTAAAGAAGAAATACTTGAAATATGATAAATATGACTACACAAAAGTATATACATGATTGATGATATCTGATCATTTTTGATTGATATTTATTTAATTAATACTTGTTCTATTGAGTCACCCATCATATGCTATGAAATATAATATATTATGTATCCTTGTATGTATGTATGTATCTCCTGTCATTTATAAAATGAACAATAATAATTCATGTTACAAACATACATATCAAGATAATATTAATATGCTGTATTACTTTTGTTGTTATTTAATTGTAATTGGAAATTGATAAATTGATTTAACATCAAACTGAAGTTAATTTCTATTGTTGTTAATACTATTTGTTAGAATTTTACGTTTTAATCGTATTTTATTTAAAACTTATTATTTATTTATCTCAGGTAGTAGACCGATGTCTCACCGGTCTGGCATGTAATTGCCCTAGGTCGCCGGCCAAGTATTTAAAAATACATGCGCGGGCACGATAGGCCACGTGCGCTCGCGCGCGCGCGCGCGGAAATCTAAATATTTTTCGTAGTGATACAACAACGTTGATCATACTAACAATTGTTTCAATATTTTTTATCAAGTTTTATATATATATTTATATAAAATAAAATGTGACAATTATTAGGTAGATACCAAAAAGTAATATTGTTTTTTATAAATATCAATTTTTGTTATCATATATTTAATCATTAAAAAAAAAAACCAATTAATTTTTATCACTTCGATATTATAAAATTTTGAATAGCAATTTGTTAAATAACGAGAATTGAGATTAAATTATTGATTTAAAAAAAAATAATGAAAATTTGTTTAAATTTAAGGTTAGGTTTACCCCTAATAATAATAATAATATTATTATCAAATGAAATACAAGATAATACAAGGTTGTTATGTCATTGTTTTGATTAGAGATCGATCCGTAATCGACTGTCTGTCCGTGGACTTCTTCCCCTTTTTCTCAAAATCAACGCCGCAAGACTTTGAAATTTGTTATCGCAGCTAGCAATCTTGTGGACCGTATAAACAAACCAATGGATTTTAGGTTAATTTTATTCCTATCCTATGTACGTGTATTTCTACTTGTCTTCGACACCAAGGAACGAGTGAAAATAGTATCAGTTAGGATAAATCGGCAACGAACGCTCTATAATTTTCTCATGCCAGAGTTATTCATTTGATATCTTTCTCTCTCTCTCTCTCTCTCACTCTCACTCTCTCACACACTCAATCTCTCCCACACATAGTAATTCCATACTAATACTATCATTCTCGTTATTATATTTCTTTTTCAAAACGTTTACGCAATCCTCTTCGCAGTAATCGCAGTTATCAACTCTTCTTCTCAAAAGTAGTCACTGGAAGATCTTGAAACTTTCTTGCGATTACAATCTCTCTTTCTCTCTTTCTCTTTCACTTAACCTCAACTCATCATCATGGATAGAAATTTGGTTGTTTACAGTCAGAATAAAATACATGTTAATATTATTTTTTTATATTTATTTCAAGTTAAAGATATATACATATAAAATATTTTTATATATATATATATATTGTGTTTTATTATTGTTTTTTTTTCTTTTTCTTTTAATATATATATCATAACACTTTTTTACAGCATTTAATTTTTTCTTTGAAAAAAAAAAAAAATAAATAAAATACAGAAACTAGAAAAATTCACAAAGGTTCTATAAAGTCCAACAATATTTATGTTTATGTAGCAACATTCTAAATTCGACTGAGCATATTTTTCTTTTTTTCTTGTTTCATTTGATTTTTCTATTTATAATTCTATATTTTCAAGTTAACCTAACCTACATCAAATAATAAGATGAAAAATCAAATGAGTTCTTTTTCATATATATTATTTTTTTTTTTCACGCCATTTTCTATCATGGTAACGTAATACAGTGTGTGACAATGTTATTATTAATAAACAAAATGATAAATTTCAAATCTAAAAGATCATCTTTGATTTTCAACATTATTATTTCAAAATAAAGTATTTACAATTTAAACAAGGATGAAACTTTATAAAACTAGAACACATATTTGATGTTTCTATTTTCAATATTAAATTCCTCACGATAGAAAGTTCCTCGTAGAATTTACTTAACGTTCTAGCTTTATATCTGAAAATAAGACATATATATATATATATATATATATATATATATCAAATTTTGTTCTATAATTACAATAGAAAAACTTGATCGTATATTCTGTAAAACTCAAAAGACGTAGAGAAATATTTTACGCGTTAAAAAAACAAAAAAAGGATCCAAAAGCAAATAATTTTCATTACAAGCTTTCTAACAATATCTACAAAAAAAATATGATTGCAAAATTCACTGTAGATTCAGATGAATTTTTAGAAAAATTTCTTTCTTTTCTTTTTTTTTTTTTTTTACACAGAGGGGGTCGGTCATGGGTCAACTTAATTCCAAAGCTCTCGTCGTAGAAACATTTAACCTTTTTTACAGCTATAGATTTTCTTTTGACATTGTTTATATAGAAAAGTAGTTCTTAGATAGATCGAATGATCTTTTGGATGCATCATCTACACAAAGAGTGCAGAAAAACATCGATAGAAGAGAACAACCCTGTATTACGATCAGTTGCTGTAAAAATGTCAGTAGTAGGTAGGCACAGTTGCAAAATGTCAGCGAAGTTGTCGTCGTCGTTGAAGGAAAATATCTGGCGTCGAGAGAGCTTTGATGTTAAAGGTACATTCCGATTCGCAACAAGTGACCTGAAATCGTCGTCGACGTCGTCGTCGTCGAATGGTCGTCATCTATTTTTACTTATTCGTTTGTCATAGAAGAGAATAAACGTTTTACAATATGAACAAAGAAAGACACTTCGAGAGGTTATGGTGCCTCTTTTTCAAATTGCAACTTGATATAATGTCAACCGTAATATGATTGGATATTTCCAATGATCTGTAACGAATCTTAGTTTGACATATGAACGACGACGACGACGACGACGACGACGACGGCTACTGTAAAGAAGAAGTACCTTGTATTGTAAAGCTGTAAAGAAAAATAGACAAAATTAGAAAATGTCAGGAATATTGGAAAATATTTTTAAATATAACAAAGAGAGGAGAGAGGATGATGGTGCGGTGAGGTTACGCGCGGCATCTTTGTCTCAGCGTTTTATAAATCGGTGCACAGCCTCGGCTAAATAAACTTTGTGCCACGTATAAACGAATAAAACAATGGCAAGTACGCCGTTGACGTCACTATCATCCTCGTGTGTAGTTTTAAACCGAGCATCATCTCTTCTTCTTCTTCTTCTTGATGCCATTCATCGATTTTCTCACTCCATAATTTTCATTGAAAAAAAAAAAAAAAAGAAAGAAAAAAGAAAGAAAATCTAATGTCAGTAAGTAGGTGACGTGGCCATAAATATCCGAGCGTGTTCGTTTGTTGTACTACGTGCATCAATAACCCTACTACCTTAGCATCTATTCTTCTTATTTCCTATTATATCTTGGCTAAACAAATTGTTCGGTTAAATCGTCATTTATTCGAATCTGCATTATACTAAAATATAAACTTTAGAAAAACCATCAATCTTTACGTAGAACATATGCCAGGTATAAACAACCATTTTACCGGTGTACCTCTCGTTAAAACTGATTTTAACAATTTCAATGTACATTAATGTCTATTTACGATCGTACGTAATCTTACGAAAGATATAGATCATTTCGACAATGAAGATATTTATTCATTTTAATGATAAACAATGCTCTAAAGAAAATAGTATTTGAAAGCAGCAGCCGCCATTTGTAATTGATATGCGTTGAAACAAAAAAAAATTGGAAAATACGTAATAATAATAATTACGTAATCAGAAAAACGAAATTGAAAATTAAATTCAGACATCTACGTCAGACCCCATCAAAATCCCATCGAAATACTTCGTGTCATAAAATTTCTTGAGAAATGCTACTACCCCCCAATATGTTTGCTTATGTAATCATTTTATTGTTTTTCTTTGATCAATTCGTATTTAATATCTCTCCCTTCTCTGAAATGAAAGATAAATTGAAATAAATAAATAAATAAATAATTGGACAAAATACATAAGTTTACAAAACTAATATATCATCCACTTGATGATTATCTTCAGTTGTATGAAGATGACATATTGATCCGAAACATTGTGCGTCAAATATTTACAAGCTGTACACATCGTCTCTCAACTGAGATCCAAAAATTCGACTGTTTGTTGTTTTTGGAACAGTGACAGATACCTCCAAGGAGTCTTACGAACATTAACAAGGGAAGGAAGTAACTCAATACTCATTAAATAGTCGAACTTTGATCTTACCTTAAAAAACTAACCTAAAAACTCGTTATTTTTTTTTTTTTACTACACAAGTACTCCTCTATCTTTGATGTTCAATTAAATGCATATAGGATGCATATATGTTTATGTTAAAACAAATTTGAAATTTCAATGAAAACTCTGATGATGTTTATCTTCCTGTATTTTTCCCCCTCTTTTTTTTCAGCTATTTGAACAACGGGGAGCAGCAAGAACTGAAACAAAACTTTTGTTTTTAACTCACTCTCTCTCTCTCTAATATACAATTTAAGTCGTTTGTTTTTTTGGCTAGCATGACAAAGTCGCAATGAAAACGTTTTAAATAATGGATATTACAGTTCTCTTTGTATGTGTGTGTGTGTGTCGAAAACAAATGACTCGGTTATGCTCTCTTAATTTTGATCTCGCATTGTTCTCCTAGTCAATATCATCCAACGTTTCTTGGCACTGTTCTTCGACAAATTTTAGCTTTGCTAATAAAGAATTCAACTGTATTATTATTATTATTATTATTATTATTTTATTATTATTAAGTATGTTACGTGATGTTGTTTCATATTTTTCAATATACTTTAACTTCAATATTAAACGACAATTAACACTAGGATAATAATACCAGACCAGTCATTTTGACTGGTTGACGCCATTTTAATTGTAAATGTGTCCACTTTTTGTAAATAATTTTAAAATGTCTATAAATCCATTTAATATCTATTAAAATTATTATTGTTACAACATTTGTTGTTATTTTTTTTTTTTTTTTTAATAAATAAAGACTGGAAGCTTCAAAAAGCAATTTTTTGTTTATACATACATCAGTTATTTTGACTAGTGTGGTATACTGAAAATGGTGTCGTATATATTCAAGTGTTCAAATAAATTTGACAAAGTTACTGACTGAAGTGTTTAAATTTGATTTGTTCAAAAAAAAAAAAAAAAAAAACAATTGTACATACTTGTAAAGATTTTATTAACAGGTCGATGCCAGTTTTTCGTCGCTTGACAAGAAAGAAAACAGGAAGAAATGAAATTGAAAATGTTTGCCGCAAAAGCGAATGAATTTTTGTTGTCGACTCGCGAGTGTCTCAAACGATGAAGAAGAAGTTGAACACTGAAAATAAAAGTAGTAAAAAAAATTAGTCTTCTTTTTATTTTGATGTTGGTCGAGAATGAAAATTGAGAAGGAACTCGTTGTGAACGGATTGTTCGTTCGTTATTGTCCGTCGATTGGTGGCACGCTGGAAGAAATTAAAACGCGAATAATTTAAGCTTCGATTGATACAAAGAAGGAATCGTTTAAAAAAAAAACAAAAGAAGAAAGAAAGATAGAAGAAAAGAAATGGCGAATAGAATGAAGTCACTTTACAACCAGGTACGAAAAAACTAAACAAACTTCATACGATTCATTCGCGAGAAATCAATTTTTGTTGTTGTGTTGTATTTTTTCATTGTCTTTTGCAATGGCGTATGTTTCAATATAAAAAAAAAAACAAATGATTGTTTAAGCAACCAATTGTTTTCCAACTCTGAAGAAAGAAAAATTATACGTGATATAAACATCCTTGTTTTTGTTTTGTTTTGTTTTAAATACAAAACGCGCTATTGCAGGAGACAATTAAAAAAAAATCCCCCTAGCGGAAGAGGTAGGAACTAAAAAAAAGAAAACGAATTTTATGAACGATCGGCAAAATTGTGTAGACAAATATTTTTGTCTAGAATAGTTTCGTCGCGTTTTCGTAGGTAATATTCGAAAGGCGAATTCTGCTCGGTTGTACAGCCCTCGTGGGACTATCCGCGTGCATATGGGCCGTAGCAATAGGAACCGATCATTGGTTTACCGTTGAAGCACCGAATGATCAAGGTTTGCCGCTGGGAGATTTTGGAGCTACTGGTCGGAGATTGATCTACAAGCATATGGGTCTCTGGAGGGGTTGCGTCACTGGTTTAATACCTAAAACGAAGAATTCCAGTGAATTGGTGCCTTACCGTAAGTGCGTTCGTTCATTTAAATTAACTCTGACGTAACTCTCTCTCTCTCTCTCTGTTTCTTTCCCACCTTTTTGCCATATCTCGAAATGTCCAAATATTACAAAGTAGATTACAGAAAACCAGGCCAACACACATTTTAAATAAATAATCGGCAAAATGTTAACCGAACGTGTGGTGTCTGTCTAATTTAATTCAAATTTCATATGATTCGTTTTATTAGTAGTAGAGAAGTTTCAAACAATTTTCCAAATGAACGATCAACTTAATTATGCGTTTTAAACACACGGATTGCTGCAAGTTTTCTATTTGAACAGTACCACTCAGAGACAACGTTATTGGTCTATTTTACTTGTGTCTACTAAACAACTATCCCTGTGCCAATTCCTATTAAAATGTATACGCACAATTTTCGACATTAATAATATACGAAATGTACCTACAAATGTAATAAAAACATTCAACTTCAAGGCTTAATGTTGAAAATGACGAAAATCATTTGATCTTCTGACTTACTAAACTGAATCGAAAATTTTCAAGTAATAATCCCTGCCAAAACAATGTTATAAATTAATATACAGAATGATTCTTAGTAAATGCAGAATCACCATCTTATATTATCTCCACTACCCATCTGTGATAATATGAGATAAACTTTCTTACGTTATTGAAATGTTTTCAGACGAGAGAACATTATTTTTATCATTCCCTAATGGCTTTTTCAAAGTCACACGTGTTTTTTTTTTTTTATTTTACGTTTCTGGATTTGCACACGTATAACCTATACACTATTCTTTGTTGTATGTTGTAATTGACACAAGTAGCATGCATTGATCCATGTTATTTAATACGTAATATTACTTGGAAATGATTCGTATTTGAAAATGTCTGTATTAATATCAAGAATACTGTTACTTATTGTCTAATATTTTGTTGGTATCTCACATTTACGTATTCGTCATACGACTTATTAATTGACTCTTAACGCAATTATACAAAATATTGTTTGTTCAATTATTTTACTTAGTATTTATTCGAAACACTCAAATATTAGGGGGTGAACGTAAAACTAACCTAAAATTCAAACAAATTGTTCATTTTAAAATCAATAATGTGATCATCCCTCATTACCAACAATCTGGTATTCAAATTTGATGATAATGAACTAATACCAAAAATATCATGTGTCCAGATGACACGTGTTAGAAATGAAAACTTCAAATAACTACGTTTCGAGAGAATGAGACGAATGCTGCACAGTTTCAAAAGTAACATAATTGTGTAGGATTTATTTATTATAATATTATTACGATTAAAACCACACCCTACGGACTTATCGGAAAAAACCTTACTAGAGAGTTGTTTACTACACTAACAGAGGTGTTTAGTTACCATGCATTTTGTAGTTACCAGAAGCAACTCGTCTCATTTCTTTGAATTGAAAACTTGCTTACTGTGTAATACGTTATCTATTTATATATGTCTTCTTCAATAAAACGTATAATAATTTTGGAATGTGATAACAATAATATAATAATAATATTATAACAAATAAACCCTACAATTATCCTACTCCTGATATTCTGCAGTCGTCTCATTCTCTCGAAACTTAGTCTGTCGAAGGTTTCACTTCTAACACGTGTGATCAGCCCACATGATATTTTTTTTTCGAATCACTCCCATTCTAAAGATGGTTTCATTTCAAAAAACGACATTACCATTTGGTCCCCTTTAATACTAATATTTGTGGGGGGAAAAATGACGCAATCGTGACACAATCGACTAATAAAAAAAAGTAAATATCGTATTGAAGATTCGAATGATTGGGGCTGGCGATGAAACGAGGAATTGTCGTCAACGTTAGTTTCTAACATTAACAACACACGTGTGCTGCTGCTTTCGTTGAGACTTTCGTTGAGACTTTGTGTTTCGACAAAATAAACGAGGAGCCAGAAATAAATGAGAAAAGAACGGGGGCTCGTCGTCTTTCTCTCTCACACTGCTTCTTCTTCTATCCTTGTATTTTGTATGCCGGTAAAGTTGTGCCCTCACGTGCCAGATAGAACAGACAATTTTGAAAAGAACAACACCCAAAACTACGATTACATTTAAAAACAATAGAAATGTTGTGATCACAAACTACTTTTTTTTTTTATATTAAATCCTCGAACTTGATTTATTGTTTTTCAGGAGAATGCAAATATCAGGAAATGTTTCCACCTGAATCAAGGATAGAAATGGATCCAGGTTTAGACAAGACAGTTATCAGTGAGTGATATATAAATTAACGAAATATTATCAAACGAATCTTAAAAGAATAATAACAATAGGAATGAATTCATTTTGAGAACAATAAAAGTAACAGCAACAATTCTTTTTTCATCGTATAGAATTGGCAATACACAACAAAAAAAATGAACAATTATACATTTTATCACCCTTGTCCTTACATAATTAATCACAATTGATTTTTTACTTTATTACAATTTGATGAAATATTAACAATATTTTCTAATCTAATCTTGAATGTTTCATTGCAACACAAACGATTGATTAACATTAAAGAAACTCAACTTGGTATGTATAGACAAATCAACAAGAAATGATTATAATGATCAAAATTGAACCTTTCCAATTATCCTTTTCCTAAATATTCAAATTCTACAAACAAAGAAAGGATAATCGAGAGAATCAATAAACAAACAAACAAACAAAATAATCGCACTGATAAAATAAAAACAATCTCATCACACTGATACATACATACATACAATTAATTTAATTCAATTAATTTTAGTTGTGTTTTCAATTTTTCTTCCCCCTCCCCCCCCTATAGAACTGCAAAGACAATTTTGAAGTACCCTTCCTGACAGATAGTACATATTTCAATTACTTTTCAATGAAAAAATCATTAAATATTTCTATTTTCATTTATCATATGAAAAGTATCATATAACGTGTAACTTTATCTATCACATTTTCCATTGTTCGCAGATTATGCAAGGACTCAGGTATCGTTCGCTGTTATTAGTATGTTTATAATGATAATGGGATTCTGTTTCTCAATCTACACGTTCCGCAACCCACGTTACATGTTCAAGAGACTAGCTGGTGGAATACACTTCATTAGTGGTAATTAAATTCCTAATTTAATGGATACAATTTTATAAACATAATTATGATCACAATTTTTCTAACCTAAAAATAATAATAATAATAATGATAATAATATGTGAGGTTTAACATTAGTTATACCAAACTAGTCATTTTGACTGATTGACGCCATTTTCATTGAAAATGTCTACTTCATGTAACATTTGATTTCTGTAAATAATTTTTAAAAATGTCTATAAATCTATATTGATCTATTAAAATTATTATTGTTATTTTTTTTTTTTTTTTAAGAGTAAATAAAGACTGGAAGCCTCAAAAAGCATTTTTTTGTTTATACATACACCAGTCAATTTGACTAGTGTGTGGTATATTGAAAATGGTGGTTAAAATCTAATGTTAAATGATAAAACTTTGTGTCAAGTATTTTTCAATTTCGTTTGTAAAGTAAAACAAGCTTTGTCATATTTTAATAGATATTTTTTTTTTTTTAAACAAACAAATATCAATTTAGTTATGACACGACACATGACAGACAGATGGTTCCTTTCAGACATTATTAGTTCATCTAAATTACTTAAAATATAAAAGTCAACAACACTGTTGTCAAATATTGTTAGAACTAATACAAAAGATGATTTCAATATGAAATTTAACAACCCATTGGTGAAAAATGATTGACATATTATTTATTGTTTTAATAAAAACAACAATTGATCAATTAAAATTGTTTTCTGTTTTCTTTCTTTTTTTTGTCAGCTGCTTGCAACATGGTGGTCATCCAAGTCCTATTGTCCTCAGTGGAATATGAAAGAACAAACGTTTATGAAACGTTTCCAAAAGGTGCATCAATGAGATATGATTTTTCTCTAATACTGGCATGGATTGTCTTCCTTTGCAATTTAATCGCTGGATGTGCCTTTATGCTATTCTCAAGAAAAAGAAAAAGAGACAAAGCACCAACCGAAGAAATTGCTATGGCCGATGAACCAACGATAATCGGTCGTTAGTGTTCGTCCCTAACTAACATGTCAAGTTAAATGAAACACTCTGTATACTCTCAAACACACAAAGAAAAAGAGGAGGGTATAAACTACGCTTGCGCGTCTTCTTCTACGGTTTTACTATATTACATTACGAGCAGAGCAAAGGCTTTCCAAAAATATCACCCCATTATATTATTTCTCGTCTTCTCCGGTTTTTCGTCTCTTAAAAATAGTTGTCCGCCGAAATATGTTTATGTCTATATA